CGGCCGGATGGGGGCGGCGGGGCCGGGGCCGGGGCCGCGGCTGCGGGTCGGGCCGTCCCGGGCGGGCGCTCCGCGGACCTTTGCGGGAACAGACAAAGCAGAACCTGGGTTTTGGTCGTGGGAGACGCGTGCCTCCCTTTGTCCTTGTTGTAAATGTGTTTCTCTTTGTTCTGAATCTGCCCCTACTCCTCGCCTGGAGGTTGCCGTCTGCCGTTTGACCTTCAAGGCTAATTTTTTTGTGTTTCAGTTGGAGACTCTTTAGTTCCAACTTGAAGGGAAACTGCTCAGCTACATGGGGCTTCTTTAACCTAAAAATGCCGAGTCTCAGCCCCTTAGTTTGGCTTATTCTATTCAAAACATTTCTGTATTGTTCTTAGAGACTTTTTAAAATAAACATTTATTATTATTTATTTTTTTGAGGCAGAGTCTTGTGTAGTTTAGTAGGCTGGCCGTGAGTTCACTATGTAGCAGGCTGGCCTGGAACTCGCAGTGATCCTCCTGCCTCAGCCTCCCCAGTGGTAGAATTGCAAATGTGCGCCACCACGCTCCACCTGATTGTGACTTTTGTATTAATTTATTCCTTGATTTGTCACATATTTAGTGGGAAACTATTATGTGGTGGGCTCTGTTGTAGGCAGTGGAAACAGCAGAGAATAGAATAGGGTAGGCTAAAAATCTTTCGCATCACTGAGTTTGTGGTGAAATGGTAGTGGGAGTGCATATATTGGCCTAGTGGAAAACATTTGTGTGGGGCATAGTGGCACACGCCTGTAATCCCAGCTCTGGGGAGGCTGAGGCAGGAAGATCACAAGTTCAGGGCCAGCCTGAACTACATAGCAAGACCCTGTCTCAAAAACTAAAAGAGGAAAAAAAAAGAAAACATGTTTGTTTTTTTCTCAAGCTGGCCCAGTGATCATGTCTATTGAAGAGAGGATGGAGGCCGATGCCCGTTCCATCTATGTTGGCAATGTACGTATTTGTTTGGTTGAGGTTTGTGGGGACATTCTTATTTAGAAGAGTTAATTTTGAACATTTCCAGTGCAGATGGTGATTCTGAGCGTGATAGCGTTGGGAGGAGGTGGGAGATTGGGAAGATGACTTGGTTATCAACACAAGCTCTGGAGTTGGAAGTAAAAGTGGTTTTTGATGTGCCTTGGTATATGGAGATGGCCTGGAGTGAGGGTCAGGCCAGGGACTTGTTGAGACAGGAGCGGGTCCAGTACCTGTAAAATGTCTCTCCTCTCCTCAGGTGGACTATGGTGCAACAGCAGAAGAGCTCGAGGCTCATTTTCATGGCTGTGGTTCAGTCAACCGTGTCACCATACTTTGTGATAAATTTAGTGGTCATCCCAAAGGGTAAGTAGGAAACTTAAGTTGTGTTAGTCAGTTTGTTTGTTTGTTTATTTATTGATTGATTGATTGTCTTTTTGAGACAGGGTCTCGCCATGCAGTTCAGGCTGGCCTTAAGCTCATTTTGTAGCCCAGGCTGGTCTCGAACTCGCAGTGATCCTCCTACCTCAGCCTCCCAGTGCTGGGATTACAGGCATACGCCACCACGCCCAGCTATTGTGTTAGTCAGTTTAAAAATAACTGTTACAGACATGTATGGTAGCATGTACTTATAAGCCCAGCACTCAGGAGGCTGAGGCAGGAGGATCATTGAGAGTTTGAAGCCAGTCTGGACTGTGTTGTGAAACCCTGTCTCAAAAAAAAAAAAGAAAGAAAAAATGGTGAAAATAACTGTTACAGCTTCTGTTTTTGTGGTGGTGGGGTCTAAACCCAAGGCATTAGTGCATGTTAAGCATGTTCTCTACCACTAAGCTATAGCTGCAACAATAGCTTCTGCTTCTCATTGAGCAGTAATTTACTTGCTGTTAAGGCAAATGGCCTTTTTCTTCTCGGTTATGAACATTGCTGTATGTCAGAGGTTGCACATGAATGTCCTCTGAGGCCAGGCAGACAATAAAATTAAATGCTGGGTGTGGGTAGGATTGAGAACTAGAAGGGGACTGGCACCTTCTTGTTGACCCCTGCTTTTATTATGACCATATGGAAGCTGGGCTTTGTGTGTTCTGTTTTGTAATTTTCTAAGAGTAGCTAGAAATTTTGATTAAAACCTTTTCTTTTAAGGTGAATTAAGTAATTATAAATGTAAACACATTGTATTGAACAAACATTCTACAAGTTGCATTTAATCTGTGAGCTGTTTGTGAACTCAGAGTGACAATTATTCTTTTCAGCTTTGCGTATATAGAGTTCTCAGACAAAGAATCAGTGAGGACTTCCCTGGCCTTAGATGAGTCCCTATTTAGAGGAAGACAAATCAAGGTAAACCTTGCCCTTTCTGTCCCTGTAACAGAAGAGCTCTTCAGGCCCACTCTAAGGCTTTCTGTTGTATGTTGCTCTCAGGTGATCCCGAAACGAACCAATAGACCAGGCATCAGCACAACAGACCGAGGTTTCCCGCGTGCCCGCTACCGTGCCCGGACCACCAACTACAACAGTTCCCGCTCTCGATTCTACAGTGGTTTTAACAGCAGGCCCCGAGGTCGTGTCTACAGGTCAGGATAGATGGGCTGCTCCTCTTTCCCGCCTCCCATGAGCCCTGTATGCTTCATTCTCTCCTGATTGAGGACCTTCCTTCCCTTCCTTCCCCTCCCCCTGGCCTCCAGGGGCTTGGTCTCCAGCCTGTGCGGGTGAGGAAGGTAGTTGCAGGCCAGGTCAGGAGGCCAGTCTCATCTTTTCTGGAGCAGAAAGCAGTGATAAGGGCTGATCTCTTGAGATGCTTCCCCCAGGCTTTTTTTTTCCCTGAGCATTGGTTGCCTGGAAGGTGTTGACACAAAGTCAGGAGGAACAGGGCCTCAGACTTGGATTGCTGCTTTCCGCCCCCCTGGGTTAGGGAGAGGGTAAACGTCCCTGGGAAGAACACCAGGGCTAGTTGATGATTCCATAGCCATGTGGGAGGATTTTCAGATACTTACTCTTCAATTGAGCCGGTCTTTTTCCAAGGTTCTCACTGGGCCTAGTGTGGTGCCCATGTGTGGCTTTGCTTTTACCTCATTTCTTCATGCTTAATAGGTTAGGCAGAAAACCTTGGCTTTTCCTAAGGTAGGGTTTAAGAGCTGTGGACAATGGAAACTGGGTAAACACGGGTCCTTTTTCTTGCTCCTGTGTCTCAGATGCACTTCTTTATAGCTACTGTTTGGCCAAGTATTCTGTTAGTGCCCCCGCTGCCCCCCATTTGCCAGGTGTTTTGCTATTTCTGGGATTGTGGAGTCGGTTTTAAGACACTTGAAAACTTCTTTTCCCCACTTCCATTCACAGTAACTGGGGCAAGGGCCCGAGGGGAGGGGCTTGTGCTGACCTGTCTAGTGATCCTGTTAACACCTGACTCTCCTTCTTTCTTCCAGGGGCCGGGCTAGAGCGACATCATGGTATTCCCCTTACTAAAAAAAGTGTGTATTAGGAGGAGAGAGAGGAAAAAAAGAGGAAAGAAGGAAAAAAAAAAGAATTAAAAAAAAAAAAAAAGAAAAACAGAAGATGACCTTGATGGAAAAAAAAAAATATTTTTAAAAAAAAGATATACTGTGGAAGGGGGGAGAATCCCATAACTAACTGCTGAGGAGGGACCTGCTTTGGGGAGTAGGGGGAGGCCCAGGGGGTGGGGCAGGGGGCTGCTCTTTCACTCTGGGGATCCGCCGCGGACACTTCTCAACTGTGCAAGCTGCTGCCCATGTGTCCCCGCCCTACATCACCCCTTTGGGGGCTGCTTGAGGGTAGGTGGGCACGGGTGGTAGGAGGGGTTTTTTTACCCAGGGCTCTGGAGGACACCAAACTGTTCTGCTTGTTACCTTCCCTCCATCTTCTCCCTGCCTTTCACAGCCCCTCCTGCCTGCTCCTGTCCTGCCAGGGTTACCACCCACCCGCCCCTCCAGATTGCCTGGTGATCTGTTTTGTTTCCTTTTGTGTTTCTTTTTCTGTTTTGAGTGTCTTTCTTTGCAGGTTTCTGTAGCCGGAAGAACTCCGATCCGCTCCCAGCGGCTCCAGTGTAAATTCCCCTTCCCCCTGGGGAAATGCACTACCTTGTTTTGGGGGGTTTTTTGTTTTTCAGTTTTTTGTTTTGTTGGTTTTTGTTTTTTTTTCCTTTGCCTTTTTTCCCTTTTATTTGGAGGGAATGGGAGGAAGTGGGAACAGGGAGGTGGGAGGTGGATTTTGTTTATTTTTTTAGCTCATTTCCAGGGGGTGGGAATTTTTTTTAAATATGTGTCACGAATAAAGTTGTTTTTGAAAATAAAAATCGTTCTGGCCTTTTGGGTGTAAAGATCATTTATCTTCTTATTCTTAGTAGACAGATGACTGTTAATTTCACTTCATGGGAGTACTGGTGTTGTGGAGGGGAAGTTCCCACTTGTAAATTGAGGAGTAGGAGTTAAATTACAACTAGCAGGAACAGTCTGTGTTTCGATATGGATGGTAGATGTTCTGCTTAAGTGAAAGAATAGCCAGATTAGATGATGTAACACAGTTAACATCCAAATGAACTACCCATAACCATGCCTTAGGTTCTTGGCTTTTCTACCCTAGGGTGAACTCAAGAAATGCAAAAACAGCCAAGTGTGGTGGCGCACACCTGTAATGCCAGCACAGGGGGCTGAAGCAGGAGGATTGTTACGAGTTCGAGGCCAACCTGAACTGCATAGTGAGAGCCTGTCTCAAGAAAGAAAAAAAAAAAAATGAAAACCTAAGGCGATGGCGAACTTGTTTACTCCAGCCATAAAATCCACTAGTAAGGCGTTCATAACTGGTTGTCACTGTTTTGGTGTCTTAAATTTTGCTGAGTGGATGCTTGGCCATCAGCTAAATATGTATAAATTTATACAATTAGGGATTAAACCGAGGTCCTTCATACTGAGCTTCGTCCCCAGCCCTTTTTAGAAATTAACTTTTTTCAAAAATGGTGTTTTGAGACAGGGTCTTGCTCTGTAATGCAGGCTAGCCTTGAACTCGGTGTGTAGCCCAGACTGGCCTCAATTTGTGGTGACCCTCCTGGCTCAGCTTCCCAACTACAGGGATTACAGGACTGCCACCATGCCTAGTTTAGAAAAATTTTATTTGATGGTGTGTATAGTGTAGGCCACCCTTAAAACCTGAATTCGACCTCAGTCCTGGGCCTATAGGCAAATGGTCTCACACCTGGCTCATGTTAACTTTTGAGGTAGAATCAGTTCCCAGGCCTGTGCTTAAAATTTGGCATCTCACTGCTTCCCAGAGTACTGAGATTACAAGCATGGGTCACTATGCCTAGCTTTCAATATTCTAGTACAAGCCTGGTTTTAAAGTTCTTGGGCACTTCCCCGCAGAAGCCTACAGAATTTTTTACCGTGTGTATACTGGATTCTGCATTACCTCTGACCATGATTGGGATGCTCTTATCTAGAAATCTTAGGTGGACATGGCCACGATCTGGATCCATGAAGCCTTAACCCACCATCTCTCCAGTTGCATTGTATTGTGAAGTCTCAGGTCCAAGTTAACCACTAGTATTTTAGTGTTGACCATTGATTATACTACTTCCTGTTGTGTGATTAGACGTGAGGTTTTTCTGGATAACTAGATGACGGGATCTCGGTCTGGAAGCTCCTGGAGAACCTGTTGAGCCATAGCCTGGATAAAGTGTGTAAGATGACTAATTCATGGGAAGCATGAAACAGGACGGAGCCCGCTCATGGGGAGATCTCATCTACCCACCAGGGGGCACCAAGTGTCTGGTTCTAAAAGATCCCTTTAAATTAGGTTTTTGTTTTGTTTTTTGTCTTTTTGAGACAGGGTTTCACTATGCAGTTCAGCCTGGCCTCGAACTCACCTTGTAGCCCAGGCTGGCCTTGAGCTTGCAGCAATTCTGCCTCGGCCTCCCAAGTGCTGAGATCACAGGCGTGCGCCACCATGTTGCCTTAAATTAATTTTTGGAGGGTGAATGTTTTTTGACCTTTGGTTTTCATTTTCTGTGTTGAGTCCATTTTACTTTGTCACGTCCGTTCGCCTCTCCATTCCTACTTTCACTGAGCAATTTCCAATTTGTTGCCCAAAGGGCCTTGGGATGTCATTAGTAATTTGCAAGGTAGTGGCTGGGTGTGGTGGCGCGTGCCTGTAATCCCAGCACTCAAGAGTTTGAGGCAGGAGGATCATTTCGAGTTCAAAACCAGCCCTGGCTACAGAGTGAGCTCAAAGCCAGCCTGAACTGCATAGCGAGACCCTGTCTCAAAAAACACACACAAAAAAGTAATTTGCAAGGTAGACTCGTGGAATTAAGGCCTCCCCCACTTTAATCTCTATCATGTTTCTCTGCCTCATCCTACCCTGCTTGGGATGTACTGTGCATTCGTTCCAGTTGGGTTGCTGTATTTTCTTGTGTGATTCATGCTGTTCCCTCTATCCTGCTATGGGCATTCTAACTTTTCTGTTAAAATCTTCTACATCCTTCAAAGCATAAGCCAGGTACTACAGCCATGCAGGAAGCCTTCCAGATTTTTTCAGTCAGAATTAATCACTGATGCAATCGGGGCACATTGTTCCTCTCTAGCGCCTCCTGGTGTTACAGTTAATTACACTAATGTTTCCCCACTAGATCTCAAGCTCAAGGGCATAGATTGTGCCTTTGTCTCACACAGCCTGGCATTTATTATTATGGTTATTATATATTTTTAGTGCCTGCCCTTTAGTAGGTGCTTAAAAGATGTTACTTCCCTTAGGCTTGCCTTTCCTGTCTTGAAGGAGACATTAACGGTACTGTCCCCTTTATCCTACTGGTTCCTAGCTCCTCCCATCCTTAGAATGAGGCGGAGGATTAGGGCATGGCCAGCCCCCTGGGCAAGTAAGTGGGGGTGATGTGTTAATAACAGAGAGCCAGGACATAAGCACAGGGAAAAAAACAATAAGAACAACAACAGAAACAGTTTCCAAGCCCTGCGCCTGGGACCAATCAGAAAATGCTATTTTCAATTTTGGTGTGAAATCAAGCAGAATTTTGATGGGACAGCCTAGGTTGGAGGTCAGCCTGAGGAATGGGAGAATACCAAAGAGGGTACCCATTAACTTTGTGGCCTTTGTAAGCTTTCAGTGGCCCCCTCTGCACTCAATAGAGGGTAATTCTTTTCCTGCCTTTATCCCTTTGATAACCTCACTATCTTTTGCACTTGTCTTGACCAATTCTTTACAGTAATGGTTATGATGGGAGCCTCAGATTTAGAACAAGAACCTACAATCTCTAGGAGCCTGCAGCAGCTTGGAGCACAGGACTTTCAGGTTTCGTGCTTCACCTTGTCTCTTCTTTTTCCTTTGTCATTATCAGTGGTTTTGTGTGTTCTTCACTTATTTTTGTTTTGTTTCGTTGAGACAAGGTTTTGCTATGTAGTCCAGGCTGGCCTTGAACTCATGGCAATCTTCCTGCCTCGGCCTCCCAATTGGTGGGATTAGAGGCATGCACCTCCATCCCCAGCTTGTTTTTTGATAGCAAAGTTTTTTTTTTTTTTTTTTTTTTCCCAGTACCAGGGATCGAACTCAGGACCTTGCACTTGCCAGGCAGGCACTTATGCCACTGAGCTAAATCCCCAGCCCTCCCAGCTTGTTTTTTGAGACAAGGTCTCTCTTTACACTGTAGATTGTCCTTGAGCTCACTATGTAGCCCATATTGGCCTTAAATTCACAATTTTCCCTGAGCAGCCTTCTGAGTGCTGGGATTACAAGGGGGCAGAAACATGCAAAGCAAGTTGCTATCCTTAGACAAGCTCAGTTGTTTTTTTTTTTTGAGACAGGATCTTGCTAGGCAGTTCAGGCTGGACTTGAACTCATTTTGTAGCCCAGGCTGGTCTCGAACTCGCAAGATCCTCCTGGCTCAGCCCAAGTGCTGGGATTACAGGAGTGCGCCACCACGCCCAGGCAGTTGTTTTTGATAGATGGTTCATCACTCCTGATAAACTCCCTGTTAGCTGAAGAACTGAAGCAAGCTCAGACTCATGGAGATTGTTGCTGGTGGAAAGGGTTTTTAAGGAAGAATTTAGGAGAAACTACTTAAAAATTTCTTGTTTAGGATGAGGGCTGTGAGTCAGATATTCAGAGGGTCTTTGGGTGATACAAAAGAAATCAAAATAACTCTGCACTTTGTTTGTTTACTGTACTACTGGGGATTGAATTCATGGCCTTCATACTGAGCTACATCCCCAGCCTTTTATTTTTTATTTTGAGATAGGGCCTCACTAAGTCACTAAATTGCCCAGGCTGGGTTTCAGCTTGCAATACTCCTGCTTCAGCCTCCCAGAGTGCTTTTTGTTTTTTAAGACTAGATCTCACTATGTAGTTCAGGCTAAACTTGAACTTACCCTGGGCTCAAACTCACAGGGATCCTCCTGCTTCAGCCTCCTCAGTGCTGGGATTACGGATGTGCACCATCATGCCCTGCTCCAGAGTGCTTGTTTTACCAGCTAACTTTGCATTTTAGGGCAGGGTTTGCCTAACCTGACATTGGCAATAGATAAAAAGCTCTTGCTGGGTTTTTGGTTTTTTTCTCTGAACTTTTAAGTTTAGGTTTGTTTTATTTAAGTTTAATGTTAATTCCCTGCTGTGTTTCAGTAAGAACAATACAGATTCTAAATCTGAGGCTCCCATCATAACCATTAGTGTAAATTAGCTTCACGTTCCATAGACTGAACAAAAGAGGGGAGGAGTAGGGAGAGAAGCAGGAGCGAAGGAAGGGGAGAGAACAAAGAATTGCACGCACGCAAAATTTTCATCTTGATGTTAACCTGCTCAGAGGTAAGTAAAATTGCTGGGCTTTTCAAAGATTTGTTTTCTGCTTCCTATCTGCCATCAAATTTCAGAATAACCTGGCTAACCTCCCATTGCTCTTTTCCTTTCATGCTGAGAGACAGCCATTCACTCAGACATTATTACCATGTGCTGGGCACTTTACAAAAAAAGGAGCCAGGTAGCAATGTGTTTGCCACACCTCTGATCTGTAGCCCACCAAAAAAACTTCCATTGTTTTTTGTTGTTGTTGTTTTGAGACAGGGTCTGTTATGGTTTCTATCTAGATGTCCCCCACAGCTTCATGTCTCATACATGGGGCTTTGAGAGGTCCCTGGATCATGAAGGATGATACTCACCAGTGGATGAACCAGCTGAGCCCGGTCAGAGGAGGTGGGTCACTGAGGGTGTGGCCTGGAAGGGTTCGATGGCTCCCTCTCTCCTTCCTTGATCCCTTTTTCTGCTTCCTATCTGCCATACTCCTCAGCCACATTGCCCTGCCTGGAAGCCAGGCTGCTATAGATGGAAATATTTACAAGGCTGGGTATGGTGGTGCACGCCTGTCATCCCAGCACTCAGGAGGCTGATGCAGGATGATTGCTTTGAGTTTAAGGCCAGTCTGGGCTACAAAGTGAGTTCAAGGACAGTCTGAGCTGCAGAACAAGACCCTGTCTCGAAAAATTAAAAAAATAAAAAAAAAAAAAATAAAAAAAAAAAACAAATTTTAGAAGTGTGACTCTTCCAGCTGTGCTTTTTCTCAGATTTGTTTGGCTGCTCTGGGTCTTCTGCACTTCTGTATGAACTATAAAATCAGCTTGTCAATTTCTGCAAAAAAGGCAGCTAGGATTTTAGTAGAGGTTATGCCGAATCCACAGATCGTTAAGGGAATGTTGCCATCCTGTATCTCTTGTGTTTATTGGGGGTGGGGTGGGGTGCATGTACCATCTCAACATAGGTCTTCAGCCCCTGAACACAGGATATCTTTTCATTTATTTAGGTCTTGAATTTCTTCCAACAGTGTTTCATAATTTTCAGTGTACAAATATTATACTTCTTTGGTTAAATTTATCTCTAAGTATTTTGGTTTTTTTCCTATTGTAAGTGGGATTCTAAATTTCATTTTCAGATTGTCTATTGCTGTTGCATAGAAGTACAATTATTATTATTGTTTTCTGAGGTACTGGGGATTGAACCCAGTGCCTCCACATACCTAGGCAAGTACTCTACTTCAGAGTACTTGCCTCAGCACTATTTTTGAGATTGGATCGCACTAAATTCCTCAGGTTGGCCTTGAACTTGTGATCTTCCTGCCTCAGTTTCCCAAAGGGCTGCTATTATAAACATGCACCATCACAGTTAATTTTTTATGGCAGTGCACTAATGTATTCCTGTAGCGCCAGCTACTTGGAGGTGTGAGGCAGGAGACTGGCAAGCTGGAGATCAGCGGGGGCAATTCACTAAGACCCTGCTGCAGTGTAATAAGGACTGGGATGAAACTCAGGCTTGGTCCCAAGGACTGCAAAAACCAACATCAAAACAGTAACTCTGCTGACTCATTTTCAATAGGCTTGTGTTTGTATATTATTCTTTAGGGTTCTCTGTAAGATCATGTCATCAGGAAATGCAGTTTTATTTCTTCCTTTCCATTTTGGGGGCCTTTTATTTCATATCTCTGGCTAGAACTTCCAGCACAAGGTTGAACAGAAGTGGCTAGAGCAGACTTCCCTTTATTTCTGATCTCAGGGGAGAAGCTTCTGGTCTTTCAGTGATTATGCTGCTAGCTATGGTTCTTCACGGATGTCTTTTCCCAGACATTAAAAACTTGCTGGACTGGTGCTGTGACTCACTGGCAGAGCACTTGTCTGGCATGCGTGGAGCCCTGGGTTCGAGGCCCACTACGGTTGAAAGCAAACAGACACCTGCTGGTCTCTATGCACACCATATTGTCATGCCTCTGGGCTTTTCATTGTCTTCCTCAAGACTTCATTGTAAACATTGGATCCAGATATCTGAGGAACTTTCCTTGACAATAGGGTGCAAACTTCTGTTGTATAATGTTTGTGTCCCCCAGAATTCAACTGTCGAAACGTAACCCCCGCTTGTTAGCGCTAGGAGTTGTGAGCTTTGGGAGGAGTTAGGTCCTGAGGGTCTCTACGGCGTATAAAAGGACCCCCGAGTTGTCCTGCCTCCTTTAGTCGTGCAAAGACACAGCTAGCAGGTGCCATCGAGCCAGGAAGTGAGTCCTTACCAGACACCACATTGGCCAGCAACTGGCCAGCTCAAACTTTGAACCTTCAGGCTTCCAGAATGGTAAGAGAGAAATTTCTGTTGTTTGTAAGACACTCAGTCTATGGTTCATTTATTTGTGTATGTATTTATTTTGGTCTATATTTTATGATACCAGCCTGGCTGGGCTGACACTTTTTTCTCCTCAAAGCTGCCACAGCGCTTTTTACATTTCTCTGCATTTTCCGCATAGCATTGTAATTACATCTCACAGGCTTTGCCTAGAGCAGTGATGGTGAATCTGTGGCAGGTGCACCTCAGCGGGCTGTCTGTATCACTGAGAGCTCTAAAAGGCCCATCATCACTGGCCTATACTGAGCAAAGCGGGATGAGACCCATGTGTGCTTCCAGACATTAATAACTCATTAGGAGAAGGAGGCTGCATGATGGTCAGACAGACATGGACACATCACTTCATATAATCTGTGTGTGTGCATTTGTGCGTTACTGGAGATCGAACTCAGAGCCTTTGCAGTGAGCTACATCCCAGCTCCTCTTCCCCTTTTTTGGAGATAGGGTCTAGTTACCAGGTTAGTTCCAATTTGGAATCCTCCTGCCTCAGCCTCTCAGACAGCTGGTATTACATGTATGTGCCACAACACCTGGCTTTATATAACTTTTTAGGTTAAAAATGTACCCTGCCTGGCCAGGTGCAGTGGCACATGTCCATAATCCCAGACTTTTGGGAGGCTGAAGCAGGAGGACACAAGATTGATGCTAGCACGAGCAATTCAGTAAGCCCTTTACTCAAAAGATAAGCACTGGGGGCATCTGGTACAGCTCAGTGGAAAACCATCTGCCTGGCATGTGCAAGTCCACGGACTCAGTCCCAAGCACTGCAAATAGATAAATAACCTTGTGGATTTTTAATTTCCCTCTAATAGTCGATTATAGCTCTTAGTTGTGAACCTAAGAATCCGTGTTTCAATTAGTATAATCTCTTTAAGTAGTCATTTCTCTTATTTGCCTGATAACTATGTTCCTGAAGTTCCTAGAGTACCTAATTAATTTAAATTTTATAGGTTGAATGATCCTTTCTCTTGTGGTGTTTAGAAATATTTCCAGTCTGGCATGCAAGAAGTCTGCAGACTCACTTCTCAAGACCTGGCTACTCTACTTACCAGGACATTACCTTAAACAAGTTACTCCTCAGTGCAAGCCTTCGTCTCCCCATCTGTACAGCCTAAAAAATAACAGCCATTTTTATGGAGTTATCGGTGAGATCCCTTGTTTCTGCAGTTGCTGAGTGCCTGGAGCCCATTCGTTGGGAAGCCCTGCCACAAACGCGGCTGGCACGAAGGTTTCTGGGTGCTGCTCCTGTACTGCGAGGCCTCTTGGCTCCAGAGCGTTTATGACTAGGTCTGCTTTTCCTTTCCTTCTCCAAACTGTCACCATTAATCTGCCCACCACGTCCAATAAACTCCTAAATTTATTATTATTTGTGGTACTGAGGATGGAACCTAGGGCCTCATGCATGCTAGGCAAGTGCTCTACGCCTGAGCTATACCCTCAGATGAGTTTTATTTGGAGGCAGTCTCCCAAAGTTGGCCAGGCTGGCCTTGAACTCATAATCCTCCTGCCTCAGCTTTCTGAATAGGTGAGACTACAGGAAGGTACCACCATGCTCAGGTCATTACAGTCAATTGCTTACAACAATAACAACAAAAAACCCTAGTGATCCAAACACCTACCTTGCAGTTGTAGTAAGGATTAAACAGTACAAAGCACCTATCGTGGTCCTGGAAGCACAGCAAGTGATCAGTAAGTGGTTAACACCTGGGGGAAGGTACGGGAAGGGGAGGCAAGGTCGCTAATGGTCTGTGTCCCGCTGAGAGGAGCATTCCCCCGAGAGACAGAAGGACAACAGAAGGGAGGGAGTTCAGGCTATGATGTGCTCATTTATTCAAAATGTCTTTATTGAAACAGGATGATAGAGCAAGAAAGAACGAGGCCTGGGAGGACGTCTTTGGGCACAGGATGGAGCCCAGACCCAGCAGCTGTGCTGGAGCTCCCTCCCTGTCCCCTGACTCTTGCGCAAGAAGTGAACACAAAGCAGCAGGGAGGAGGTGGGGGTGGGGACAGCCCTCTGAGCTCTCCTGGACGGCTGGCGTGAGGCACCTCCAAGCCCTCCGTGGAGCCCTGCCTTCCTCACTGTCTTCCTAGCCTTCTTGCCGGGGTCCTCCGCCACCTTTCCATACGGGCCAGCCTCCCGCCAGAGTGCTCACGGAGGCCACTCAGAGGGCAGCGCTGGGGGTGGCAAGCAGCGGGACGTGGTCACAGCGGTTAGGCGGTGGCTGCCGCAGCAAGGAGGGCCGGCGGCACAGCTCCCCATCCCGGAGCACCTCCGGCAGGAGCTTGCGCTTGGTCTCCGGCAGAAGCATAACGCTGAGGATGCACAGGAGGGCACAGGCCGCCAGCACCACGTGCTGCAGGAAGGCTCCATGGCCCATGTGGAGGCGCTGGGCAGGGCCACTCAGCCCCCCGAGGGCCCCCAGTGCCATGATCAGGCCCAGGCCACGGCCCCTGGAATACATGGAGGAGGCACTCAGCCTACAGCTGTGGACCTTGCCCCACCCCTCCGGCAGCTTCCTCCCTCATCCCTCAGGCCCTGTCCCCAGGGAGAGGCCTGGAGCCCTGGGCCTGCCCTGGCCGAACCCGGTGCTCACCGGACAGTGGTAGGGATGATTTCAGCAGCAAGGAGGGTGCTGAGGATGGCAGCAGCTTGGGAAGAGAAGAGCCCAAGGACAGAGAAGGTGGTAACGGCAGCCTCATTCAGATCTGCAGGACCAGGAAGGATGGTATGAACCAAGGTGGGGCATCGTGTGTAGCCTTGTCCCCGGCACCATTCCTTGGCTCTCAGACCCCACGGCTCTAGCTGGGTGGGCTCTGGGCATTCCCCAACGGACTGGGAGAACAGACAGGGTTCTGCAGTGAGGAGGAAGCTCGGGGTAGGGTCTGGTCTTATCTTGGAGGCCTGTGGCAGAAGTAGAGGCCGAGCCTGTCTGAGACACTCTGCTGGGGTTCCCTTGTTGAGCCCCCACTGTGAAGAAGGAAGGATGCTCACAATCCCACAGGCCCAGCAGGACCAGGGACGCAATGCCAGTGAGAGTCATAGAGAGAAGCAGGATTCCTCGGCGGCCGAATCGGTCCACGGTGACTCCCAGGAAGACACAGGCCAGGGCCGCTGTGCCGCTGGCCAGCAGGGAGCACAAGTAGAAGTCTGATGGGCTCCCCGCTCCTCCCATAGGCTGGTAGCAGTGGCCAATGGCGTGGGCAATGAAACTGTGAGAAGGGGTGGGGTGGCAAGGAACAGTGTCTGAATCCCCAGCCCCGGCCTTCCCACTCCCTTGGTCCTCTTCAGCCCCCGCCCCCAGCCGGTGCCTGTCTCAGCTGCTGGCCTGGCCCTTGGCTCCGACACCCAGGCTCACTTGGTGAAGCCCAGGATAAGCAGATTCTTCCAGATGTTTCGGTAGTTGAGGAGTGCCACGAAGGAAAAGGTGGATGTTGCGGGGAGTGGACAGGTGTTCTCCAGCTCTTTGAGAGAGAGAGGCGAGCTCTCTGTTAGAAGGATCCTCCCATATCGGCGGTGGACACCCCGGGAGGTAGCACAGCTGCAGCCGTGAAGAGGGCATTGCCATGCAGGAGGGGCCCGACTTACCCTGCAGGGCCTCCTGGGCCTCCTCCCCCAGCATCTGCCCATGGGGCCGGTTCCGCTCAGCCAGAATCCTCAGAACAGACTGAGCCTCCTCGATCTGCCGCTTCACTATGAGCCACCGTGCAGACTCCAGAAACAGACCAGGCCAGCTGCAGGCAGGGTGGTAATACACAGGCTGAGGCCTTCCCTCTCTTGACACAGGAAACTCACACCCCGGAGGCACTGGGCAGGTCTGCACTGGGGGCACTGGAAGGGCAGGGGGGTCTCTAGGCTAAGAGGCAAGCTGGAGGTGGGGATGGGAAGGGCCGGGTCACAGGAGAAGGGCAATACTAACCCATAAAACAGGAAGAGGATACAGGGTGCAGTGATCATCCGCTGCAGAAATCGCCAGTCCTTAGAGACAAGGGCCAGGCCCAGGAACAGGAAGTGCCCTCCCACCCCCACCAACTCCCCTGCCAGTGCCACCCGAAGCCTCTGGGTTGGGTCGCACAGCTCCAGGCCTGGAAATAAAGCAGGGATGGAAGGGCGAGAGAGGGGCCGGGGAAGAAGCGTGAGAGAGAAAAGGAGAGAAGGAGAGGAGAGAGGACAGAGAGCTGGGTCAGACCCTGCGCAAAGGCTGCACTCATCGCCCCCACAGACCAACCTCTGGGCAGCAAGGGGTAGAGATTGTTCGTCCTTTTTCCTCTGCTACTCAAACCTAGGAGGACTCTAGGATCAGAATATTCCCAACTTAGAGGGCCTTTCACGTCGCGTCTCTTACTTGACCATGTCAACCCCTGTCCAAGGTCACATAGCTAATCAAGATCTCTGTTTTAAACCAGGTGGATTTACTGATGGCAGTAAGCCCAGGGCAAGGCTTCGAGCTCCCAGGAGAGGTGTGGAGAGAAGCAGGACCTCTGGCCTCATCAAAGGCCGGGGCAGAAAGCTGAGATTCTGAACAGCTGAACTCTGGGGCTGAAGAAGGGGCTGAGGAGACCCTAGTGGGCAGCTGGGATGGCCTGGGAACGCCGAAAAGTGGGTGTGACACAGGAGGGGACTCGGGCAGGGGGCCACTTACGCATCAGGTAGACGCCAAGGTCAACCCCAGCAAGCAGAAAGCCCAGGAGGAATCGGAGGGCCATGACACCTGTGGAGGAGCCTGCGGCAGCCCCTCCCACTCCACAGGGACCCACCAGTCCCAAGGTCAGCAGCACAATGCCACGGCGGCCAAATCTGGAAAGCAGGGGAGGCTTCTGGTCACTGAAACCCCTGGGTGAGGAGGTGCTGTGCAGGGCCCAGGTGCCCACTTCAAAGCTGGAGGTGAGGATGAGGCTCTGAGGCCAGAGATGATAGAGACATTGGGTTGCTGGTGTCCGGATACTGGTCACTGGGATGAGGCTATAAGGATTGAACCCAGGGCCTTCACAGTGAGCTATATCCCCAGCCCTTTTTATATGGAGACAAGAGTTACTAAATGATCCAGCCTGAGCTCAAACTTGCAATCTTCCTGCCTCAGCCTCCTAGAGTGCTGGGATTATAGGCATGTGTCAACATATCCAGCAATTCAGGACCACTGATCCTGGGGACAGAGCCAGTGGTCAGTGGGAATGGAATTTGTCTTGCTCAGACCAGTCAGAGGAGATGTAAGTCATAAGCATATGGGATTAGATTGATCCGTGGAATGAGGCCATTGGCTTCTTGTAACGGGGACAGTAATGGTCAATGAAGATGGAGCTATTGATCTCAGGGGACTGAGTAATTGATCTTGGTGAATGAGGCCATGAAGTTGGGACAAGAGCTTTTTAATATGTAAGGGTTGTCGGTGGGATGGGCCAGGAGATGGAGCTGCTGACCTATGGAAGGGGTCTGTGGGGATGGGTCTATTAATTCATGACATAGGACTATTGATCTGTGAGGCTGGAACTCTTAATCTCTGGAGCATGGAGAACTGATCTCTGGGGATGTCATTAATCTATGGGGTACTGATTTTAGTTTGTATGGACGGGTGGTTAGTAGAGATAAGTCTATTAAGTGACAGAAATAATCAGCAAGGATGGGGTCACAGACCAGGGAAGATGAAACTACTGGTGATGATGGTCACTCACCAGGAGTCAGTGGGGCTGCAGCCACTGATCTTTTGGGGGCTGGGCTATTGATCTTCGGTGATAGGACTACCGATCTACACTGATGAAGACTGGTCACTGGTGTACGTGTGCCAAAGCAAGCACAGTGACTGGTCATTGGAAAGGGGGCACTAATTAATCCCTGCAAATGAGGCTGCTAACCCAGAGATGAAAGCCCTCCCCTTTCAATGAGGGTCACCTTACTGGTTAATGTAGCTAAGGCTTCTGATTTTAGGAGACTGAACTACTGGTCTCTGGGTATAACAGGAACAGGAATAAGGCTACCAGGAAATGAGGCTACCGGTGTAGAGGAATGGGCTACTGCCTTGTGGGTTTAGGACTGTTGGCCCACAGATGTGACTATCAGGCAGTGAAGATGGTACTGATTTTAAGAAGTAGACTATTGAATGTTGAGATGTCTTTGGTCCATAGACATCAGACTATTAATCCACTTAGATGGGACTGCAGGTCAGGCAAGATGAGAGATCCACGGGGATAGTCAGAGGAATTGGAGCACCTGGTCAATGGTGATAGTGTCCAGAAATAGAGGAGATGTGATTTTTGATCCTTGAGGGGAGCTATTGGTTAGTGGGTTGCTGATCTTTAGAGGTGAGGCCACTAGTTCATGGAAATGGGGATACCAGTCTGAGAGGACCCGAAAGCCCCTGCAGATCCTGAAGACAGGAGGATCAGTTTACGAGGTGTGCTCTTGGGGTCATCTGGCAGCAGGCACAGGACTATGGGATATTGAAGACGATGGGACTGCTCTTCGGAGATAGTTATTGACTGGCGGGGGAAGGGCTACAGACAAAGATGGGCCATTTGTTTATAAAGCCGAGCTATTGGTCAGTGGGGATGGGGCTGTTGATATTTAGGAATTAATACTGACCTTTGGGAATGAGGCCACGGGATGAAGCCAACAGTCCAGGTGGGGGATTAGCTGGTGGGGACGAGTCTGCTGACCATAACGGCCATAAGGGCAAAACAGGGACAGACAGACTTGCTCCGTGGAGATGGTGTGCGGTTAGGGGTGGGACTCTTTGGAGATGAGGCCAATGATCCAGCCTATGGGACTACTGATCAGTGGGAGGGGGCAAGCAGTCCACCAGGAGAGGGTGTGCCTTGTGCCAGAGGGCTATGGAACAGCACTTGACAGGAGCGAAGATGAGGCAGGGGTAGGTCATTAGGCACAAGTCCAGAGAAGACTGCAGAATCCAGCGATGGTCCCCGGCCTCCTGCCGACCCAGGCGCTTGGGCTAGCTTTCCTAGGCCCCCTCCTCTCTACCAGCCCTGCTCCCACAGCAGCCCTCACCTGTCTGCGGGGTAACCCAGGAACAAGTAGCCGGAGGCAAAGCCCAAGATGAAGAGGATCTGCTCCAGGATCACCTGCCAGCCCAGGTCACACACCAGATCCCACTGGAGAAGAGAGAAGGGTGCAGCGGGCGTGAGGTCCCGCCCGCCCTCATCGCTCTGGCCCGTGTCCGACCCGCGCCCACCTGGCCTGGCCACCTCACCTGGCCGATAGCGTTCGTGGTGAGCACGGGGAGCCCGTTATAGTCCCAGTCCTTGAGGCAGTGGTTGAAGTCCGGCGGGGCGAAGCCGCTGCACGCGGGGTCAGTGCTGGTGGCGACGCGACTGGCGGTGCTCGCTGCTAGAGCCGCGCTGGCGGCGATGCTGACGCCACTGGCATTGGGGGGCTGCTCCCAGCCCGAGGTATTGGGGGGGAAGGCCCCATAGTGGCAGTGCAGCGGGGGCGCCAGCGTGAAGATGGGGTCCGAGGCCAAACCCAGAGCCACGAAGAGCACGGGCAGGCAACAGAGGCCGAGCTGCAGCTGCTGGCCGCCGCCCAGCGCCCCCACCTGGGCGAGCAGCGCCTCAAAGCTGAGGGGGCCTGGGGGCACGGCCAGCGACAGGCTGCTGCCCAGCGCGTCGCTGCCCGCGTCGCCCTCCCCCTCCCGCTCGCGCTCGCGCTCGCGCTCACCCTGCAGCTGCTCGGCGGGCACCGCGTCTCCGAGGGTCCCGACCTGCTGTGGGCGGGGAGGGGGCAGCGGGATGAAGCGAAGGGCAACGCGGGGCGCGCGGAGGGGGCGGG